TCCCTCCTTCCTTCCTTCCTTCCTTCCTTCCTTCCTTCCTTCCTTCCTTCCTTCCTTCCTTTCTTTTCTATTCACACAGGATATCTTGTATCTCAGGCTGGTTTCAAACTCACTATGAAGCTTTATGATAATAACCTTGTACTATTGACTATCTTGGCTCCAGAGTGCTGCCCTGTTCTGTTCTGTAGCTTCCATCCTGTACTTGATATCTGTAGAGAAATATACAATACACATATACATATTTTAAAGTAACTATCAAAAGAATAAAGCATAGTTAAAAGTACTAGACAAATAAATAATATTGACATAGTGTGGTGATTTAAATAGTAATGGCACCTATAAGCTCATTGAGTTGAATGTTTGGTAACTAGGGAGTTTTGCTATACAACAGGGACTATTGGAGTAGGTGTGGCCTTATTGAAGGAAATATGTCACTGGAGGTAGTCTTTAGAGTTTGAAATGCTCAAGCCACGCCCAGTTTCTTGCACTCTTTTCCTGTTGCTTGCAATCCTGATATAGAACTCTCAGCTACCTCTCTAGCACCATGTCTGCCTGAGTCACAACATGCTTCTCATCATGACAGTAACAGACTAAACCTCTGAAACTTTAAACCAGCTCCACTTAAATGTTTTTCTTTATAAGAGTTTCTATGGTCATAGAGTCTCTTCTTAGCAACAGAACACTGACTAAGTCACGTAGAAACAAAATTAAGGAAAAATACTAAGAGCAGTAAATAAGGCCAAGGTTACCTTTGTGTATTTTGCAATTACATCCACGAGAAAGCCTAAATGCATCAATTCACAATATAATTGTGGCTGGATTAAATGACTCTCAGTAAACAAATGTTTTTAGAGTCACTAAATTCAATCTCAATTTTGGTTTTATTTTTATTTTTTTAATTTTATTTTTCTTTTTAGTTACATTTTGTTAACTCTGTGTCCCAGCTGTATCCCGCTCCCTCATTCCCTCCCCAACCCCACACTCCTTCCCTGGTCTCCTCCCTGCCCCTTTCCAAGTCCACTGATAGGGGAGGACCTCCTCCTCCCCTTTCATTTGACCCTGTTTTATCAGGTATCTTCAGGGCTGGCTGCAAAGTCCTCCTCTGTGGCCTAACAGGACTGCTCCTCCCCTGGGGGGGGGTGTCAAAGAGCCTGCCCTTGAGATCCTGTTAGAAATAGTCCTTGTTTCCCTTACTTGGAAAACTACTTGGTTACTGAGCTACCACGGGCCACATCCGAGCAGAAGTTCTAGGTTATATCCATAGATGGTCCTTGGTTGAGTGTCAGTCTCAGAAAAGACCCTGTGCCCGGATATATTTGGTCCTTGTAGAGCTCCTATCCTTTCCATATCATACGAACTCCCCTTCTTTCATATGATTCCCTGCACTCTGCCATGGTTGGTTATGAGTCTTAGTGTCTGCTTTGAAACACTGCTAGGTAGGGTTTATTTCTGGGTCTTCTATGCGGTTCCATTGATCCTCCTTTCTCTTTCTATGCCAATACCATGCAGTTTTTATTACTGTTGCCCTGTAGTACTGCTTGAGATCGGGGATGGAGATACCTCCACATGATCTGTTGTTGTACAGGATCGTTTTGGAGATTCTGGGTTTTTTGTTTCTCCATATGAGGCTGAGAATCTTTTTTTCAAGGTCTGTAAAGAATTGAGTTGGTATTTTGATGGGAATTGCATTGAATCTGTAGATTGCTTTTGGCAGGATGGCCATTTTCACAATGTTAATCCTACCAATCCATGAGCACGGGAGATCTTTCCATCTTCTGAGATCTTCTTCGATGCCTTTTGCGGTAGACTCCTGTCATACATTCAATGCACATCCCATTTGTCTTTCTAAATGAGGATTGATCATCTTCACCTATGTCCACTTACTTGATTATCTTCTTTAGGTGTGTAGATTTCATTATGTTTATCATATCTTGTAGGTCTATATAAGCGAGTATATACCAAGTTTGTCTTTCTCCTTCTGGGATACTTCACTCAGAATGATCTTTTCTAGATCCCACCATTTGCCCACAAATTTCATGATTTCCTCCTTTTTGATTGCTGAGTAGTATTCCATTGTGTAAAAATACCACAATTTCTGTATCCATTCCTCCGTTGATGGACATCTGGGTTGTTTCCAAGTTCTGGCTATTACAAATAAAGCTGCTACAAACATGGTTGAACAAATGTCCTTGTTGTGTACTTGAGCAAATTTTGGGTATATACCTAGGAGTGGTATAGCTGGGTCTTGAGGTAGCACTACTCCTAGTTGTCTGAGAAAGCGCCAGATTGACTTCCAAAGTGGTTGTACCAGTTTACATTCCCACCAGCAATGGAGGAGGGTTCCCTTTTCTCCACAACCTCTCCAGCATGTGATGTCACTTGAGTTTTTCATCTTGGCCATTCTGATGGGTGTAAGGTGAAATCTCAGGGTCGTTTTGATTTGCATTTCCCTAATGGCTAATGAGGTTGAGCATTTCTTTAAGTGCTTCTCTGCCATTTGATATTCCTCTACAGAGAATTCTCTGTTTAGCTCTCTTCCCCATTTTTTAATTGGATTACTTGGTTTGTTGCTTTTCTGCTTCTTTAGTTCTTTATATATACTGGATATTAGCCTTCTGTCAGATAAAGGGTTGGTGAAGATTCTTTCCCAATCTGTAGGCTGTCTATTTGTTTTGATGACATTGTCTTTTGCTTTACAGAAGCTTTTCAGTTTCATGAGGTCCCATTTATTGATTGTTGCTCTTAGAGCCTGTGCAGTTGGTGTTCTGTTTAGGAAGTTGTCTCCTGTGCCAATGAATTCTAGGCTGTTCCCCACTTTTTTTTCCAACTGATTTAGAGTATCTGGTTTTATGTTGAGGTCCTTGATCCACTTTGACTTTAGTTTTGTGCAGGGTGATAAATATGGATCTATTTTCATTTTTCTGCATGTAGACATCCAGTTGGACCAGCACCATTTGTTGAAGATGCTGTCTTTTTTCCATTGAATGGATTTGGCTTCTTTGTCAAATATTGAGTATTCATAGGTGTGTGGGTTTATTTCTGGGTCTTCTATGCGGTTCCATTGATCCTCCTTTCTGTTTCTATGCCAATACCATGCAGTTTTTATTACTGTTGCCCTGTAGTACAGCTTGAGATCGGGGATGGAGATACCTCCACATGATCTGTTGTTGTACAGGATCGTTTTGGAGATTCTGGGTTTTTTGTTTCTCCATATGAGGCTGAGAATCTTTTTTTCAAGGTCTGTAAAGAATTGAGTTGGTATTTTGATGGGAATTGCATTGAATCTGTAGATTGCTTTTGGCAGGATGGCCATTTTCACAATGTTAATCCTACCAATCCATGAGCACGGGAGATCTTTCCATCTTCTGAGATCTTCTTCGATTTCTCTCTTCAGAGACTTGAAGTTTTTCTCAAACAGGTCTTTCACTTGCTTGGTTAGAGTCACACCAAGGTACTTTATGTTATTAGTGGCTATTGTGAAGGGTGTTTTTTCCCTAATTTCTTTCTCAGCCTTTTTGTCTTTGGTTTACAGGAAGGCTTCTGATTTTTTTGAGTTGACTATTGTTCTTGATGCATACAAGGACCCCTTCATTGTTGCTGCCATCATCACCATCAGCCAGTAACTGCTTTCATGAGCAGAGGTTGCACAGCGTGTCATAGAATTGGTACCAATAATAAACATTTGGAGACTGCTTATTGACAAGCACCAACTCTGGAGCCAATTAATGCTTTTATCATCAGCTAGGTAGATCAGTTTTCCAGTTGCTACTTAATTTTTAAAAATTATCTTGATAACAAGTTGCACCAACATTTTAATATACATTCTTAAAATAAATATCTCTGCCCATTTCATATTTTTCTCTCTCTTTTTCTTGTGGGTGGTGGTAGAGGAGAGAATAACAAACAAGTGTTACTGATGGAAAATTTTAATTTGTTTATAACATTATAGTATAAAAATTAGCTCAATTTTGAAGCATACAGTGATTAATTTCTCCCAATACTTACTTGATTCACACATATTTTTTAATAAATATTTTTATTATTATATTTTTAATCAAATATAAGTATGTACACATGAGTATAGGTACCCATAGAGGCTCTGTCCTGGAGCTAGAGTTATAGGTGGTTGTGAGCCACCAAATGTGGTTGCTGAGAATTGAATTCAGGTCCTCTGGAGAAGCAGTACATGCTCTAAACTGTTAAACTGCCTCCCAAGCTCCCATACATGTTTTTCAAGTTTTAATAATAAAATTTTTTTAACAGGAACATTTATTAGATTTAATAAAAAACATAGAGTGAAACTGGATCCAGGAATACCATGGATACTGCATACAAAGAACTCTGAAAGCGATTACACAGAAATAAAATGTAACAACACCAGTACTTCCTAAATATATACGGTAATAAAATTGTATAGACCATAGATGTATCTGCCTAAGTGATATAAATGCTTGGTAGA